CCCTCAGCACAGACTGTAAAGGAAGTTCTAGAAACACAGACTCTCGACTTTTAAAGACTGAACTCCATCGGCTTATAAACAGCATTTAAAAGGAATTACAAGGAGCTAACGCTGGCAGACTGGAGGCATCAAGAGAAGTGGTTAATTAGCCCAGGTTTCCTCAGACTCTAATGACGCCTGTGTTTCATCAATACTCCTTCCTCTATTAGTTCGTTTTCCCACAGACATTTATCCCAATCTAACGGGATCTCCCTGTAGAATTCCAGTCATCCTGCGTAGGGGGGAACACAAAGAACTGCATCAATGAGCTTTGTTCTCCTGACAAGTCTACACACTGAGCAAACTGCAGTAGATTTAGTTCGATTCCTTCCCGTGCGTCAGCCAATCAAATAGCGGATGGATGTATCAGTTTCCTTTCTTGTACCTGTGATAAAACCTGGGGGAAAGGAGGCTGCTTACTTGTAGTTACCCCAAAGGATAATAATGCTGGTGTCCAGCCACCTCCCTTTCCTGTTTCACTCAGTTGAAGACCCCAGCGGTGCTAGCTACCCTCAGAGTAGGTCTTCCCTCCTTGGAAACACCCTCACAAACACACTCGGCGGTGTGCCTCATCAATGGCCTAGGTGTTTCTTAAAACCAGTCAACAGTGGAAATCAGCCATCGCACTGGAGATTTCTTTTGTAAGGAGAAATCTTAGTTATCCAGTGGAAAAGAGGCTGGTCCACTGTGGGATCCTTCCTTGGTGTCTGGAGTGGGAATGGCCCCCACAGGCTCGTGCATTCCAATGCTAGGTCCTAGCTGGTAAGGGAAGGGTTAGGAGGTGTGACATTATTGGAGGAGGTAAGTCACTGGAGTGAGCCTCCAGGTTTCAAGAGCCCATCCATTCCCTGTTAGTCTTTTTCTCTCTGCCTTGTGTTTGAGGATCAAGGTGTAAGTTCTCAGCTACTGTGTCAGGGCCATGCCCACCTGCCTGCTGATACGCTCTGTGCATGCCGGTCATGAACTCCCTCTCTGAAACGGTAAGAACTCTAAAACTGTTTCTTGTATAAGTTATCCCTGGTCATTGTATTCTAGCACAACAATAGAAAAAATAACTAAGACATCTCCCTATGAGCTATTGATCAGGAAGCCTCAAACAATCCTCCCAAAAAAAGGCTATTGCCACTACTATTAGTTGGCCCCCATAACTAGATGGTAAAAGCCTATGGGTGCAGATACGACACACTTTGGTTGTAGGACACAGAGAGGTCAAACTGGGACTGATCTGAAAACTTCTTCTCTGCAGGCTAGCTTTCAAAGTGGCAGAAATGCTGTGTAGGCCGTTAGGGGGAGAAAAACCCACCAGTGGACTTATCCTGTGACGAACTCTGTGCAACAATACTGACTGACCTGCAGGGTCGGACATGCTCTCTGCTGCAATAGTGGCACGAAGGTTATGGATGCAATGGGTCATTTTGGATTGACTTTAAGGCTGGATTGCACAGGAGGGAATTCATGCTCCAGGTTATAAACCTGGCTGAAATGTCCACCTGAGTGACTTCAGAGTGGGCATCATATTGCCTGACCGCATTGCTGGGACTGTGGTGGCTACATTTTAACTGTGAGTTTAAGATGGAGCCATCCTTGTGAAAAGATTTGCCCGAGTGGCAGAGGGTTGCAGCCCCTCAATCAGCGTAGCATCCTGCACGTAGAATATGTGACAGGGTGTGATGCATCTAAGTGAATGAGGGTTCCGTGGAACTTACCCTGATAGGAGAGAGGTATATCTTCCCTCCCACCTACTTCCTTCCTTTCTTCCTCTATTCCTTACTCCCTCCCCAACCTCTCTCGTCTCTCTTCCTCTCTCTCTCCTTCCCTCACCCCCTTCTCTCTTTCTTTCTTTGGGGATGGGAATGAGAATTCAGGCAATGCTTCACCATGTAGCTCTCTAGCAGGCCTTGGAACCCGCTAAGCAGACCAGGCTGGTTTTTGAACTCCCAGTGGCACTCATGCCCTGGCCTCTCACATGCTGGGATTTCAAGCATGCATGCATGCATGCATCACCTTGCTCAGCCAGAAGTCTTTGGGATCCACCCGGACAAAGGCAAACTTTAGTCTCTGGTCCAGGTGCTGATTCTTGACCAGCAACAGCTCAACATACCCGAAGTTAACTACGTAGGGATTTAAGCAGTTAGTGAGAAGCAGATCTTTAACTACCACCTGAAGTACATCGCTGCACTTCAAAAAAGCCTCTTAGTTGTGCCATCAGATCTCCAGACAGCCTCTAAACCGGCTACATGTATCGGAAGGTTTGCAACTCAGAGACTCGGCCCTTCTGCTCTCATGAGTTAAACCAGGACTGCTAAAACTCAGCTGTGTCTAATAAAGGTGTTTTTTTTTCTACTTACAGTATTCATTGCTTTGAAATACTTTACAAACAGGTAAAATGTAAGTGTGGGAAGAAGAAGTTGCATTTCTAGGTAAAAATTAGAAATACTAAAAACGAGAGGGTTGTCCAAAAACCTGCCACTGATTTAGACGTGAAGCAACTGTAAAAACCAGAAGGAAAATAAGACAAAAATCTCAACTAGTCTATGCAAATAACCGCAAGTAACTTTAACTTTTATTCTACTCTAAAATAACAAAACTGTAGTGGGTACTGACATTGCAAAGTGTAATCCACAGGGCTCTCAAGGATTTTTTATTTTTATTTTTTGTTACTAGAAGGCTGGTGAATGAATGCACATTTGAAATTTCAAGGCAAAATAAAATACCGAGAAGGGTTCATAAGGCTGGCTGAGGTGCGAGCCTATGAATCCCAGCTATTCAGGAGCCCGAGGCAGGAGGATTGCAAATTCAAGATCAGTCTAAGCCACTGAGACAGCATGGCAAAATAAAATGTAAAAGGGGGGTTGGGGAGAGAAACAGGGTGAAGGAGGAAGAGAGAGGGGTGAAGGAGAGAGAGAGAGGGGGTGAGGGAGGGAGAAACAAGGAGGAGAGAAGGGGAGGAAGAGGGCGGGAGGAGACACCTGTTGTTTCATAGTAACTGACTTTTAATACTAGTCAACAGTCAATAAACACACAAGGTGTGCATTCAACATCTCACACACGTTGTTCAGGCCACCCTTCCTTCCGTAGTTACTGGGTAAGGCATTGCTTGGGAGCACGTAGGTGGGAACAGCTGGATTGTTGGGAGGTGTCTGAGCTTTCTCCTATCCCCTGCCACGAAACAGCAGGAGCCCATTGCTGCACACTAGGAAGTTAGAAAGCTTTGGAGACAGACGGCAGATAGACGCCCACGTTTTCTGATCCTCTCATATGAAAATCCCAGGCTTTAGTGTCAAGATTAAGTGTGAACTTGAAAGCTGCCCCTCGTGGCAACACGAAGCCAACACAGGCTTAGCATTTGCTGAAGGTTTAAGGGCAGGTTTCTGAGGCGGTGGGCGCGTGTACCGGCCCCACAGACCCGTGCATCTGAACACTGGCCTGCAGCTGGAGGTGCTGCTGGAGAGAGACTTATAGAATCTTCAGGAGGTAGCGCCTCGCTGGAGGAAGTAGGTCACTGGGTGCTTTTTGGTTTAAGGCCAGAGTCTGCTTCCCCTCTGCTCTCTGCTCCCCACCAACACAATAGATAAAATACCACCACCTGTGGGGGTCTACACGGTCATTTCAGCCAGTTAGGGGGATCGGGGAACTGACTCCAGACCCTACTGCCTTTAAGTTGTTGCTTTCCCAGTCACTCTCTTCCTTGCTGTGGTAAATACGGAGGGCATGAGATATACGAGGAGAAGAGTCGTTGGGTAGGAGATGAGTCCCTCTCAGAAATTCCCACCAAGAAACAGTAATACTGAAGTACGGGCAGTCTATCCAATCACCGGGGATAAACAATTGTCACTATGATGAATGGTCCTGGAGTTTTCGTTTTCCTGTTTTTTGTTTTTGTTTTTTTTTGTCTAGCACAAAGAGTGACAACTTATTTCAAAATAGAAGGTAAAGCAGTCATATCTGCCGAAGGTCCATGGCAGAGGAGGACATTAAAAAAGGTGAGATTTTAAATCAGAGATGTTTGGGCTCCAGGTTGAGAGCATTAAATGCCTCACTGATTTCAGCCCTGGCTTTAAGCTTTGACCATGCTCCCCCCATTCAGGGTGTATATCTCCCCTGGAAGCAAATACTTATTTATATTGTTTCACAGGAAAAAAAGAGGAAATACCAAAGCAGCAACTGTAATTTTGTGGAATCAACTGCCAGAGAATTTGACTGAATATAAACCTTTGGCCCAGCTGTGCATGAGGGTTGGAGTTACTTTTCTATTTGAAGCCGGCAGGGTTTGTAAACATGTAGAATCTTTCTCCCACCAACACCACTGGGCAGACTAACTGCCCATTTCCTCCCTTCCAGAATGCATGAGAAACCATGAAACATTTATTATTAAGGCCAAAGTGTACTTTACACATACCTGTGATGGCATAATATATCTTCTCTTTTCTATTTTGGCCTTTTTGAGGCAGGTCTCAATGGCCATTTAGTTTCATCTAATTGGCAATTTCTAGGCCATTGAGACTGTTTCCAAGCAAAGTGTACAGTGCCTAAGGCAGGACATCTGAGATGGACCTCGGGCCTCCATATCGTGTGTACATGTGTGCATCCCCCGCATACACATACGCAAAAAAGGGAGAGGCCTAAAGCTTCCAATAAACATACTGTTAAAGGATCATTAGGACAAGTATCCCTCCCCAGACTTACCGTGTGACTTTTAACAAGAGCCCCCTGTTTTGCCCGTATGCATCCGGCTGTGTTATGTGTAGCAATGACAATTTTATGTTTTACAAGATGTTAAATGCGGAAGGAGAAGCAACGTTGAGTACATATGGGACAGACTTGAATACTGAGCCCAGAGACTCAGAATCCAAGAGCCCTCCCACCTCCAAGGGTGAGTTCACTGCCCAGAGACACGGCCACCCTCACACACCCGGGCAGGGGAAGGGTAGTGGGAAGCAATGGCCTTCTGCAGCGCTTACTTGAGGGCGGTTCTGTAGTGGTAGATGGCTTCCTTGTTCCGACCTTGGTCTTTTAGGAAATTGGCGTAGTTGTAATGGACCTTCGCGTTGTGGGGCAGAGTCTGAACTCCAGACCTACGAAGGATATTAAAGACAAAGAAAACAAAAATCACACCATTGAAAGGCTCCTTTGTGTTTTACGCCAGTTGTATGAAGCTGTCCACTGGTTTCATACCAAAGAATAGGCTTCTGGATTTTGTGAATCATAGGAGTGATTACACAGGGAAGGCCTTGGCCAGGCATGCACGACTGAATAACTGAGGATGAACGAAATGTTCTCCTCAGGGAAGCATGCAGACCCTTCTCTCTGCTGAAGACAGCACCTGGGGCTTGGTAAGGTGTGGTCACCTTTGCTGAGGCTTCCTGTGGAGGTGTAGCAGAACCCAACCGCAGACATGAAGGAGCAGAACACAACCGGGGCCCAAAGCCTCGAACTGTCCGGGCCAGTCTGTCCTTGCAACTTAGGGCAGAGGATATGAAGTAAGACACAGCGTTGACAAAGTCGGACCCCGCAGAAGATGGTGCAGGCACTGTCCCTGGTTGAGGGACTCCAGCCCCAGGCAGGCAGGCCCTTCTCTCTCGTGTCTCTCGCAGGCGAAGGCTTTTTATTTATGGACAGAAAGTGAAGTAGCCTGAGCGAGTCTATGTGTCTAATACAGAGGTACAAGATGGCAAGATGATTTGGATGTCCTGAAGTGAGAAGGCACGACCCGTCACCAACACGGCCCTTTAAGGCACAAGACGAGATCTGACAAGTGCTGTCCTTGCTCTGTGCCTTCTTTCTCTCCCTGTTCTCTACATCCTGGCTTCCTCGTTGGGCTTCAAGACAGGCCCAGGTCTAGAATGTATGGTCTGCGGTATCTGCGGCATCTCAGAAGTCTGGTGGCTTAAAACCAGTTCGTGCAAGTAAATGCCACGGTCATTCGGTATCTGTGCCGCGGTGGGTGTTGGGATAAAACATGTCCAGGGAGCCTGTTCTTAGGGAGGGACATGCAGGAAATAGGAGCAGTGAAAGAACCTTTCATGTGTGAGTAGGCTATCAGCAAATCTCGGTGAGCTCAGTCCAGAACGGAGACAGAAATGAGCTGTGAGGAGGAAGAGGAGAGCTGGGTTGGCAGCTAGAGGAAGCGGCAGGGGCGTGTCCTAAGTGGAAGAGAAAGTGAACTGTCTCTCAGACCTCGCAGCCGGCAGTGCTGCAGTTCTGGAAGGTTGTGGAGCCTTGAGGAGGTGGAGGGCAGCCAGGGGAAGTGGCACGTGAGGTTTTAGAGCCTGGTCCGCCTCTTATCTGCTATTTCCTGATGGCAAATGCAATGTGACCACACACCTCTAGCTCCTGCTGCCTAGCTTTCCTGAGCATGATGGGTTTTATCTCCCCTGATAAATCCTCCCGCCCCGCCCCGCCCCGCCCCGCCCGTTAGTTGCCTCTCATCAGGCAACAAGCAACCTAGAAGATACAGGGAGATGAGACCAGGAACATGGTCGGGGAGGGAGCTGAAGGAGAGTAAGGGGTGCCTGGGCACCCAGAGACCAGACTGAGAGTGAGGAGAGCAACAGCCAAGTGATTAGGCAGAAAAACTCTGGGCTTCATTTGCAGAGCAGTGGGGGAGTCAGGGCGGGGCTTTAGGAAGAGAAATGATGCCTGCAATTGAGGGTTCTGCAAGGATCCTAATGGGTGCTTTGTGCAAATGGACTGCAGGCAGGGAGGCCTGCTGAGGAACTGCAGAGAGGTAACAGGGTGGGAAGGAGGGAGGGAGCAGGGGGTGGGTGTGGCCACGAGGGGGAGGTGGCACAATCTGTGATAAGAAAAATTTGGACCTACAGGTCAACTCCATTTTTGTTTGTTTGTATTTTTCCTTCCTTCCTTCAGTTAGCCCCTTCTTTTTGTTTTTGTTTTTTTCCTTCGGGTAATTTGAAGATTGAGTACAAAAGTACAAAAATCATTACCAGAGAGATGAATGTAAGCTGACATCCCTATTGATAAGCTTTATTGAAATTAATATTACCACATCAAGTCTATGCTAACTTAAATTATTATAGGAATAATTATTCTATAATTAATGAAAAGAAGATTTCGGAAGCATCAAAAGCCTTGCTTAAGCAAGTGGTGGTGCGTGCCTTTAATCACAGCACTCCGGGAGGTGGAGGCAGAGGCAGGAGGATCTCTGTGAGTTCAAGGCCAGCTTGGTCTACAGAGCAAGTTACAGAACACCCAGAGCTATAGAGAGAAACTCTGTCTTAAACACACACACACACACACACACACACCAACAACAACAAAGCAAGTGATAGTCTGTTTAGCCAGACATAACGAAACATCATAGTTTAAGTGGCTTAAACAAGAAATTTCTTTCTAGACTGAGTGTTGGTGGTGCGCGCCTTTAATCCCAGCACTCAGGAGGCAGAGACAGGCGCATTTCTGTGAGTTCGAGGCCAGCCTGGTCTACAGAGTGAGTTCCAGGACAGCCTCCAAAACAATATGGAGAAACCCTGTCTGAAAAAAAAACAAACAAAAAAATCCAGAAAACAAACAAAAAATCCAAAAAACAAACAAAAAAGAAAGACATTTCTTTCTCTCAATTCTGGTGATTAGAATCTAATCCAGTCAGTTTACCGTTGGGAGGCCCTGCTCCTGGCCTGTGGACATACTCTCTATATTAGTTCACCGTTGGGCAGGCCCTGCTCCTGGCCTGTGGACATACTCTCTATATTAGTTCACTGTTGGGCAGGCCCTGCTCCTGGCTCCTGGACATCTACTCTTTAGCTGTGTCCTCTCATGGCCTTGTTCTGCCAGTGTGCCTAGGGAATAAGCTCTTATGTCCTTTCCTGTGTTGTCAACAGACCTTGGGTTGGGGCCCCATCTTAATGACTTCATTCATTAGCATTTCCCTCCCAAACTCCAACTCCAAACACAGCAAAACTGTACGTTGAGGCGTCAACATATGAATTGAAGTTGGGGGACTCAGCCCACTAAAATCACACTCAGTACGTAATGATTACCGATCAGCAGTGAGCGTGGGTGGCATGTCCCCAATGCCACGGGGCTAAACGCCAACGCTGCATTTCCCATCAGACGCTTGCCTAGAGCCGAGATCATGGGCCCAGGGGGTCCCCCTACGGGGGCAGCCCCAAGCTCTGAGGATGGTTAGAGAAGGGTGGGACCAGGAGAGGATCAGCTTGTCCTGTGCACCTGCTGCATAAACTTAACTTGAAGAAGATCAGACAGCAGCTAAGTGACCTGGAGGGGAACTCAAGCACACGGTGTTCGGGTCTGGAGCCTGTCCCTCTGCCTAAAGGGAAGTGGTGGCCGGACACTCTTGACAGCAAAGTGAACAGGGCAGGGGACTATTTGGAAAGAAAACTCCTGGGATTTATTTTGCTAAAGGAGAAAGAGGAACAGTTGATGAGAACCTGCTTTGTAGGCAACTGGATTGTACTGTACCACCTCTCTTAGATGAACTTTCCATTTAATTTTTAAACATGAAGACAGTATTAGTAGGGAAACCCCACACATTGTACAAAACCCACTGGGGAAATACATTAGGACCAGTTTTGCTGAAAAAAAAAAACAGCCTCTTTATATTTTGCCTCACTCAAAGCACTCTGGCTGGAACTCAAGCAACTGTAGCAAGGCCTGATGGGGCCATGGGAAGCTAGAGACCATCCAAAAGGGACAGGTCAGCTAGACACAGCAGAGGACAGATTTATACCCTGCTGCCAAAGTACAGACACTCTAAGTATTAGTCTCAATTCCTGTGGACACAACACCCGACCACACGGTGGCTTCTATTTTCAACCCTTTGCAAAACTTCTCTTCTGTTTCTAAGGATGGCTGCACTGGTTTCCATTCCCACTTAGAGTCTGCAAGGACTCCATTTTCTAACCAAGTCTATGGCTGCACTTATTCCTGGCGTGTTGAAAACAACCCATTCTACGGAGCCTGAGCTGTTGATTCACAGTCCTGCTAAATGATCCCGGGAACATTACACCCAGGTATAGAAGCCTTGCAGTTTGGTGTAGCCCCATTTCTCCATTTCTGCTTTTATTGCCCTATGCTTACCCTTCATAGCGATATCTAAGAAATGCTTGTCAGGGACAGTATCAAACAGCTTTCCCCCTTACTCTCCATAATCAAGATATGCTAACAAGAGGCCCGTGAACAGATGAACAACAGAAACAATAGAGAAATCATGACAGTGGAATATAGCCCGCTTTACAAGAGGAGATTACACAATGCTTGACACATGAGTGGGCCTGCAAGACGTTATAAAAGCTGTGTGGAGAGAGAGAGATAAACAGAGACAGAGAGCGTTCAATGAGAAGACGCAAACCCAGTTAGCTGGGGGTGATCCTAGAGTTTACTCTGGGTACCCTTACATTTAAAACACTGTAATCTTGTCTATTTTCATCCTGTCAACCAAAGACTTGAGGAACCAAAAATAAAGTAGTGTGGGTGTGTACACCTCCTATGTGGTGACATCACCGCAGTGTGCCAACACTCGGCATTTTTGTTTTGCTGTTTTAAGACGTGTGTGTGTGTGTGTGTGTGTGTGTGTGTGTGTGCTTTGCCTTCATGTTGTCTGTGAAGTGCCCTCAGAGGCCAGAAGAAGAGTGCATCTGATCCCTTGGGATTTAGAGTTATGGATGGCTGTGAGCTGTCATACGGGTGTCAGGAATCAAAGGTCCTATGGAAGAGCAGCCAGTGTTCTTAACTGCTGAGCCATCTCTCCAGTCTTCACCACTCAGCATTTTAACACTTGCACTTCACACATCTCCCTCACATCTCTTATTTGTGGATGACTTGAGACATAGAGGAAATAGCAAAAAATGGAAAAAAAAGTCACCTTTATCACATGTCTCTCCCAGGGCTTAGAACAGCAACTTATTTTGTTCACATTACTGAGAAGGTTGGTGGATTGGTCTCCCGTTGCTAGTTAGAGACCAAACAAGAAAACGCCACTGGCGGCAGCCAGCACATCAGAGAAGGGAAAGGAGGAGAGGTAGGTCTCCTCGGTTCTGAGTCCAGCTTTGGCCCCAGAGGTTTCATACTGCCACAGCAGATGGTGACGCTTGTCTGCCACTCACCTTCAACCAAACACCGGGCCAAGTGCCCACCTACCATGTGTCATCGTTTCACTCTACTGCAGATGCTAAGTACTTTATTCTGTAACACAGATGAAGAGGCCAGAGTCCTGGTAAGTATTTGGGCAGAATTTCAACCAAAAGCCAGTATCAAGTTCATTCCTAAAACTGGTTAGCATATGATGCTGAGAGATAATAAACACTGCTATTCTCCATTTTTCATTCAACTTTAGGAGATTTGCCTGAGAGCAAGCAATTAAACAGGTGAATTTAGCATGCTGTCAGGAAGTCCAACTCCAGATGTTGCCTTCAGTCACTCACTCACCCTGCCCTACCTCAGAGGCTGGCAGTGTAGTGTTCAAGTCACCTCGGCATGGTTTCTCATAGATGAAGACAAGCACATTTAGCCTTAAAGAGAAAAAGATTCTACAAGCCTCCAACTTTCCCCAGGACTTAGAGTCAAAGTTGTATTTAAAGTATTAGTAATTTTGATTGCAACACACACACACACACACACACACAAATCACCCCATCTTCAATGGCCTAAGGATGGGGGATGTTCTTCTGTATATGTGTTTCTCTTATTGGTTGATGAATAAAACATTGATTGGCTGGGAGAGACGCCATGCTGCCAAAGGGGTAACATGCCAGATTACGGGGAAGCTGCAGCCTCGTGGCAATACATAGGTTAGCAGAAATGGGTTAGTAATTACGAGAGATAGCCAGTAAGAAGCCCTGGACATTGGCCAACAGTTTTATAATTATTATAAGCATCCATGTGTTTATTTGGGGCCAAAGGGCGGCAGGACCTGACCGGACAGAAACCTCCATCTTCAGCCTCCCAGGCCAAAGCCCCTTCCAGCACAGCTGTGGAATGGTTGTATCATGGTGACCAACTACTAGGTTCTAACACACTCCCACCAAAAGGGACAGAAGGTTTGGGATGCAGTGTGTTCCAGTTTTATCGCTGTTGCTGTTTTTACTTACTTTTTTAAAATATGGGTATTAGCTGCAGAGGGTTTGAACTCTAACTTACTATATCCTTGGAACAAGCACTATCTCCCATTCCCACCACCTAAGCTGTTTTGCTTAAGCAGTAAACATCATAGACGATGCCATTCCCAGCGTGTGGCTTTATCCAGGGAGAGTGCCCAACCCAACAGCAGAATGGCTGGGAGGTCTTTCGTTAAAAAGTCATCCACTGACAGTGAGAGAAAGATTAAACCAAGAGACCGGGAGGAGGTCTGAACTTCAATGCCCCTAGACTAAGGGATGAGGAGGGAGAGGCCCCCTGTGTTCCGTGAGAACCGCCGTGAATGAGGAGGGTGAGGGCAAAGCCCCAGAGTTCTTTATCAGGTCTGCGAAGGGAAGAATGCATCAAAACAGGCAGAAGTGAAACATCTGGGTGACAGGAAGAGACTCTGTCTTCAGTAATGTGACCTTTTCCTGTTAGCAGTCCTAATGGAACTCACAAAACGAAGGGGGCCTGGGGAGGCTCAGGGGTTCAGAGCATGGCTGCTCTTACAGACAGCCTGTGTCTGAGTCCCAGCACCCACAAGATGGCTCACAACCATCTATCTGTAACTCTAGTTCCCAGAGATCCGATGCCTTCTTCTGGCTTCCGTGGGCGCCAGATACATATAGTGTGTAGACATACATGCAGACTGAATACTCTTATGCATAAAAAATAAAATGATATAAAACAAAAATCTTAAAAAACTTGTTAAACAAAAAAATGAAAGTAGTCAGGGTATTAGTTTGGAAGAAGGTGATCGGTGGACAGGGGACAAAAGACTGGATGGAGAATGAATGTGGTCGAAATTCCTTGTATTCGTGCAGAGAGTGTCAACAAGAAGCCCATTATAATTTCTGGCTTATCTGACAGCAGTCGCTCTATGGGAACCAGGGCTGCAATGACACTGTGTTGGTAAATGACACCCAGACTTGCATGCAAAGTTAACTACATTAAAAATGCGTAAGAACGACACTTTCTTTTCCTTTTTTTTTTTTTTTTGAGGCAGGGTCTCACTGTGCAGCCATGGCTGTCCTGGAACTCTATATAGATCAGTCTGACTTCAGACTCACAGAGATCCACCTGCCTCTGCCTCCCAAGTGCTGGGATTAAAGATATACACCACCACACCCAGGCTCAGACATATTATTGTCAAAAAGTAGCAGAGCCCAGTGAACATCTATCTGCCTTATTTGTTCATTCATTCATGCATTCATTTACTTCTTCACTACTAATTCTAATATTCATACTTTGGGTAAGGCTGAAAGCTATAGATGAACACACACACACACACACACACACATATATATATATGTCTATGTAAATATGCACATACACATATATGCACATATGTACATGTGCATACATATAAACATATGAACTTACGAGCATATGTATATATGTGGGTTTATGTATATATAAGATGTGTTTACATATGTAAATATGCACATACACATATATGCACATATGTACATGTGCATACATATAAACATATGAACTTACGAGCATGTGTATATATGTGGGTTTATGTATATATAAGATGTGTTTACATATGTAAATATGCACATACACATATATGCACATATGTACATGTGCATACATATAAACATATGAACTTACGAGCATATGTATATATGTGGGTTTATGTATATATAAGATGTGTTTACATATGTAAATATGCACATACACATATATGCACATATGTACATGTGCATACATATAAACATATGAACTTACGAGCATATGTATATATGTGGGTTTATGTATATATAAGATGTGTTTACATATTTGTAAATATGTACACAAACATATATGTACATATACACATAATAAATACACATATGCACACCAATATGGGTGATGCTAGGGATCTAGCCCAGTGTGCCTGATAACTGCTCTGCCCCAGAGCTGCTAATATCAACCCGGTAGCATGCTTGTATTCAGAAAAAAATTCCATCACAGAGGAAAAAAAGCACCAGAAAAAGGAAGCCTTTTATTTTCTCATCTAAAACTAACGTTTAAATAAACAGTGGTAAACAATGAGATCACAGATCATGATTTAATGCTCCGGAATATTCCAGAAAGAGTCACTTCCTGTCTTGCCCTCCTGCTGTGTGCTCACCTTTCCCTTGCACCAGGCTGAGTGAGGGAACGAGGCGTATGGATTACATCTGGGGACTGCTTTTACAACCCAGCTCGTCGGTCGGTATTTCTACCCAAATTCACGGGCCCAGGATCTCCTTATTCTCACAAACCCACTCTGAGTGATTTCATGGTAAAGTTTATATATCGCTTTATAAAACCTGAAATTAAACCCCCAGATAAAATGGTATCTTTCATTCCGCATTTATTAAGAGCAATTTTCCAGATTTAGTACAAACTATCACAGCTATGTTACTTCATTTGGAAGCAACTGTCATCAGGGAAAGAGTGGGAAGAAATGTACATTTACCTGCTTAATCATACCTGAATAAGGACTCTCTCGACAACCAAATTTCATTCTGCTTCACGGTTTTCCAGGAAAAAAGCAGTAGCAACAGCACGGTAGACGCCATCAGGGAGGCGGCCCCGCACCGGCTCAGCCCGGCACAGAGCTTGTTCAGTCCATGCACGAACAGAATGCAGTAGCCCATGCTGGAACAAAGCAGAAGAGCAGGGTGACTGTGGGTAAGAGGTCACTGAGGGTCAGGGAGTCACTGTCTGGGCGGTGGCTATGATAGGAGGGTCACTGTGGGTAAGAGGTCACTGAGGGTCAGGGAGTCACTGTCTAGGGCGGTGGCTATGATAGGAGGGTCACTGTGGGTAAGAGGTCACTGAGGGTCAGGGAGTCACTGTCTAGGGGGTGGCTATGGGTAGGAGGGTCACTGTGGGTAAGAGGTCACTGAGGGTCAGGGAGTCACTGTCTGGGCGGTGGCTATGATAGGAGGGTGACTGTGGGTAAGAGGTCACTGAGGGTCAGGGAGTCACTGTCTGGGCGGTGGCTATGATAGGAGGGTCACTGTGGGTAAGAGGTCATTGAGGGTCAGGGAGTCACTGTCTGGGCGGTGGCTATGATAGGAGGGTCACTGTGGGTAAGAGGTCATTGAGGGTCAGGGAGTCACTGTCTGGGCGGCGGCTATGATAGGAGGGTCACTGTGGGTAAGAGGTCATTGAGGGTCAGGGAGTCACTGTCTGGGCGGCGGCTATGATAGGAGGGTCACTGTGGGTAAGAGGTCATTGAGGGTCAGGGAGTCACTGTCTGGGCGGTGGCTATGATAGGAGGGTCACTGTGGGTAAGAGGTCATTGAGGGTCAGGGAGTCACTGTCTAGGGGGTGGCTATGGGTAGGAGGGTGACTGTGGGTAAGAGGTCATTGAGGGTCAGGGAGTCACAGTCTGGGGGGTGGCTATGGGTAGGAGGGTGACTGTGGGTAAGAGGTCATTGAGGGTCAGGGAGTCACTGTATGGGGGGTGGCTATGGGTAGGAGGGTGACTGTGGGTAAGAGGTCATTGAGGGTCAGGGAGTCACAGTCTGGGGGGTGGCTATGGGTATGAGGGTCACTGTAATGGTTTAAATAAGAATGACCCCCATAGACTCATATATTCCCATGCTTGGTTCAGAGAGTGGCAGTATTTGAAAGTATTACAAGGATTAGGAGTGGCCTTGTTGGAGAAAGTGTGTCATGGGGGGAGGGTGGGCTTTGAGGTTTCAGAAGCCCATGCCTGGCCTAGTCTCTCTCTCTCTGCCTACATATCAGGGTGTCTCAGCTGCTGCTTTAGCCTCTGCCTGCATGCCACCACGCTCCCCACCATGATGATAATGGGCTAACCCTGAAACTGTAAGCCAGTCCCAGTTAAATGCTTTGCTTCATAAGAGTTGCATTGGTCATGCTTGTAACACGAGTAATAAAAGACCCAGAGACTTATATTGTGATTCAAGTTGAGGGTCAGAGAAGCAAAAGCAGCCAAGCCAGAAATTTTAACCCAGCTGAAATGGCAATCCTGTCCCCATGAATCCTCAGAGGCAAAAGCTCTCCGTTCCTATCTCCTCCTCTTTACATTCTGCTCTCTGTCCAGCCTTATCACTCCTGTCTTCACCTCCCTAGTGCTGAGATTAAAGGCCCAGGATTGCAGGTTCTGGGGTGAAAGGTGTGAGCTCTGTTACTCGCTTACTCTTGTGTAGGCCAGGGTGGCCTTGAACTCAAGAGAGATCCATCTGCCTGTCTCCTGAGTCCTGGGATTAAAGGTGTGTGCTACCACTGCCTGGCTAGCCAGTATGACTGCTGGGATGAAAGGTGTGTATCACCGCTGCCTGACCTCTACAGCTTGTGGCTGGCTTTGCCTTCTGAATCCTCAGGCAAGCTTTGATAAATGATCAATAATATATCTCCACACATGATGTCTCTTCACAGTAACAGAACAGTGACTAAGACAGTCACTGTGGGTTGGGGATCATGATGGGTGGGAAGTTCCCCAAGCATGCTATCAGGACTAACAGGCCTGTCTTGTGCTAGAGAGACACACATATGAATTCCCCTGTCACAGACATGGGCAGGGCTCTCTGAGGCACTAGCTCTCATGCAATGGCTCACTAGCTCTCCAGCATTGCTGTGAAGTCACAGGCTCAAAGCCTCAGGCATGGGAAGTCTTACATGGGACCTGAGGGGATTCTCTGGCCCAGGCTTCCTCATGCCTCCATCACAAGGTGTGGCAAGGTGTGTCTGAATTCACAGCCTGCAGGTCCTACCCCGGCAGCCTGGAGGACCACCAGGGATGGATAGTAATCATGGAGGAACAGAGATATGCCACCTACGAGGCCTCCCAGTGCATCTTCTCTTAGGTCCTTCCATTTCCAAATCCACCCTGAGCTGGACTAATAAGGTTTCTTCACTGACTCTGCCCTGGCTTTTCCAGTCTTTGGCATGGTGTTTCCGAAAGCCCATGGTCCCTCCCACCACTCACACACCTGCAGAGGAACTTCCTGCTGGCGGAACAGACTCAAGAGAACATCAAGTTTGCCAAAGGGAGTCCCCATCCTACCTATGTGGGTGGGTTCCCAGATGTGACCCCAAGTACTGAATCCATTTGGCACAGGTCCTTCAGTGCCATGTACACATCAGAACCATCTCCAGTACAAAAAAAAAGTCTTCTTGAGTTACAATGTCCATATTTGACCTTAAAGATGAGGGGTTCCTCTACAAATCTATTGCTTCTGTAGAACTGATTGTGCTAACGTTACTGCAGTGCCTGATCACGATGGCTGCTCACATGCGTGAGGCTTCTTGCTGCCTGCTCTTCTAATCCCAGCCAGGTTCCCCCCATCCCCCAAGCTAATCAGGATGCTTCTGGGACCACAAGGAGGTCCTCTGGAGTCCATTCCTTCCTATGTTACAATTTGCTTTTAAAAGAATTTCAATTTTTAATCACTGTTGTGTGAGAGTGCCACTTGCGTGGCGGTCCGAAGGACAACTCTGTGGAGTAGATTCTCTCCTCCCACTTTTCCACGGGTGTTTGGGAATCAAGCTCACTTGACGGCCAGCCCCCTCATTCATGACGATTTACGGACTACTATGTAGATAAGAGTATTACAGGCACCAAGAACTTATTAGTGAATAAACAACACTGTAGTCACAATTCTGGAACATGGGGAGAAAACGGTAGGTTAAATAGACAGCATGGGTGTTATACTTTGCTGCATGAGGGAATCAAGCAATGGAAAAATGGCTATTTCAACACGGATGGCCAGGTAGGAACCTGCAGACACATGAGTGAAAACCTGAAATGCATGGAGATCACACCATGCAGACATTTGCACTCCCAGACTTACTCTCTTCCCACTCCCCTCCACACAAAGATTGCTAAGGGGTAGGGGGTATCATCTGTGTGGCCGGCACCACGGCTTCTCACGAAGCTATGGATGCCAGGGGGGCTCTTAATCCAAGAAGGTGCTGGTGAAGAGGGTGGTTAAGGATGCTGAAGGAGGTCAGATATCTAGAGAACAAAGGGACAGTGGGACTAGCCCAGGGATTCGGACCCAGCACCTTGTCCCACATGCTGCCCTGCTATACGGTTTTTGATATTGATAAGCTGGATGCCATCTCACCTACTATTTCATATACTAAGTCTTTCTTAGCTCTGATTTGTGCGACCTCGCTGGTTGTAGGAACCACGGCTGCCCTGTGATGGAACAGCCCGAAGGGAGGGCGTGGAACCCCAGCGGATACACAGAGGTGCACTGAAGTGTTGGCAGACAAGGATGATGAAGACAAGGACTGAAACCATCACCAGTGTGTGCGTCTGGGTGTCCACAGGCATGTCCTCTGTGCCAGGCGCAATGCTAAGAGCGTCACTTGAGATCTCAATGGCATTTGCAGGGCAAGGATAGTACTTTGCACATGTTTTCTGACTGGAACTTCAAATTCTCAGTGTCATCCGTGTCCTAGGTGAAGAAACTAAAGACAGACAAACTGAAGAACTCACTCACCTACAGCCCCAAAGCTAGTACTCAACAAGCCAGATATGCAGACTCTGACAAAATGCTAAAACTGAGGATTGCAAAACTCCTTCTCAAAGAGGCTAGGCAGTAGACAGTGCAGATGTTTTCTGTATTGGGGCTCACAAAACATTATCCCCCAAGAGCCCTCCATTTACCTGCTGCTGAATCAGCATCCATAAGGCTTCTCTGACCTTCCCCATCCCAGCCTCCCTTCTTCATGCCTCTCAATCCCATTTTCGCAAAAACTACATGGAAGGGCTTTCTTGGAGTTCCCATATCCAACTAAAGACTGGATCAACCACAGGGAAATACAACTGCCCATAAGCTCCTTAGGGAAACAACATTAACCGAGAAAGATTAAACTCCTACCACAGAAGAAGAGACTGAAAACCAATCACCGCACTCAAGCACTGTGTCAGCCTACTGTCTGCATGTCCACACCCAGAGTACTGTGTTAGCCCACTGTCCACACCCAGAGCACTGTGTTAGCCCACCATCCCAACTCAGAGCACTGTGTCAGCCCACCATCCCAACTCAGAGCACTGTGTTAGCCCACTGTCCACACCCAGAGCACTGTGTTAGCCCACCATCCCAACTCAGAGCACTGTGTCAGCCCACCTCTAGTTCTTTGGGGCCCTCCTCTCTTTTATAGACCCATCCATGTGTCCCACTGGCCTCATCCCTAAGGGGAGAGTGCAGACGCTTTTGTCTTCTCTGAGCTCCTGAGTTGATGAGCTGTCCGTGAACATTAACACATTTGTTTGCCTTTACATCCTGTCAATCGTCTCTTAGTTGTCAATCCTTTTTATTGGACATAAATATCCAGACATTGGGAGAGCAGAGGGTAAGTCCTTTCATCTCTATGTAGGCTACAATGCCTCTGTCATCTCTCCTTCGCTCCGTCTGTGTGAGAGTAAGCATACACCATGTACGTGCATCGGCGTGTCTGTGAAGAGGACCAGACCTGACTCATGGGCCACACAGTTCGCTGGCCCCTGCTCTGTGGGGATGAGGGAGAACCTCTCCTTACCGTTTGACATCATTTTTTTTGTATCTAATAACATGATAAATTGTTCTTTCCCCCCCCCCAAAGTCCTTGAATTGACACTCGGCTTCAGAAATACTATGCCATAGAAAGTAATCGCGGCTAGGTTTGCAATT